AAATGACCTCTGTTCAAATACCACTAGGTGGTCCTCTTTTTCTGTCTGCCAGAATCTATATTGGGTCCAGCCTCCTTGATAGTTTGGATCTTGCTATTTGACCTGGCTCACTCCTGCTTTTCGAATAACCTTCTTGAAAGTTTCCATAATACCCACCCCACATATACACACAAAAGCATTGTAAAAAGAATTCTTCTAGGCCGGGCACAGTGGTTCACATCTGTCATCCTAGCACTCTGTTAGGCTGAGGCAGATAGATTGCTTGAGCTCAGGAGTTCAAGACCAGCCTGAGGAAAGGCAAGACTCTGCCTTTAAAATATAGCTTGGCATGGTGGCAGGTGCCTATAGGCCCAGCTACTTGAGAGGCTGAGGCAAGAGGATCACTTGTCTCCAAGAGTTAGAGGTTGTTGTGAGCTTTTACACCATGACACTCTACCAAGGGTGACAAAGTGAAACTGTCTCAAAAAAAAAAAAAATAGTAGGGTGCCAGTTATATGAAATTTGAAGTTGGCCAGGCTCATACCTATAATCCTAGCACTCTGGGAGGCCAAGGAGGGTGGATGACCTGAACTCAAGAGTTGAGGAACACCTTGAGCAAAGTGGGACTCCATCTCTACGAAAAATAGAACACTAGCTGGGTTTTGTGGCAGGTGCCTGTAGCCCCCACTACTCAGGAGGCTGCGGCAAGAGGATTGCTCAAGCCTGAGAGTTTGAGGTTGCTGTGAGCTATGACACCACAGCTCTCAACTCCAGGATGGCAGTGAAAATCTGTCTCAAAGAAAGAAAAGAAATTTGAAACTAATCCATAAATTGGGGGAAAATCTTGCATTTTGTAGCCAATGAATCTTCCCAGTGTTCAGACAGGTAGAAGCTATACTTTCCAAAAGGGGGATGGGAATATTTTTATTCAACAAAAACACTTCATGGAACTTCATACAGCACATTAGGGACTTGTGTATGGTGCTGAACAAAAGCAAATATTGCACTTATCTTTTCCCTGCCTTTAGTACTATAGAACTGTGGTCCCCAACCCCCAGTACTGGTCTATGGCCTTTTAGGAAGAGGTCCACACAGCATCACCAAGTAACCTTTGCCTCCTATCCCCCAGTGCTTTCCCCAACCCAGCCATGGAATAACTGTCTTCCATGAAACCAGTCCCTGGTATCAAAAAAGGTTGGGGACCACTACTGTAGAAAGTTTAATTTAAAAGGTGGCTAAGGCTCAGCACTGTGGCTTAAGTGGCTAAGGCGCCAGCCACATACACCTAAGGTGGCGGGTTCGAATCCAGCCTGGGCCCGCCAAAACAACGACAGCTGCAACCA